AAGTTGCAATAACAATGTTGCATAGACTTGTCGTACTCTAAAGCTGTACTGTTTTGGTCGCTGCTCTTCGTTGTTCTCTATAAAACTTTGGTGCCCCGATTGCGTACAATGCGTGGGTTTTCATGTTTGTTTGTTTGTACGCGCGCGCGCGCGCGCGTGTGTGTGTGTGCGTACATGTGGTGAAAGACCAAACCAATGTACAAGGACCTGAATGATAATTATGTATCTTTTCTTAATGGGCTTTGACATCACGCCTATATGATTAGCAAAATTATATGACCAGTCTCTGTCATGAACTTGTATCGTCGTGCAATCTGATGTAGGTCCGGTTCACCATGGAGCACACAATTAAACTTAATTTGGAGCCAAATGAACAGTAAGGGGTGAGGAATGCCACTCGCACTTGAATATATCGAAAGTGATATTTTGCTCTTTTTTTGTTTTTTGGCGCCCGTAGTAAGCATGCTTCGCAATGCATTTTTACAAAGAGCTTGAGCGGTAGACGTGAAAGTGCACCTGCTACGACAGTGGATAATACCTTTTCAATTCAATAAACACTGTAGCGTACACTATTAAGCTCAAATCTGCCATGTGTAAATGCAGATGGAGTTATGATATGGCTGTTATGACGAGAATAAGAAGAGAAATTATACTCAAAGCACATTTTAAGTTACAGTAAAGAGAAAAAGCATATTAACCCAATGGTGACAGACAGACATAAATAATAGGAGGAGAAAAAAGAAATTGGACCTACCAGTTTCGCCCTCCAAACACCTGCTCAAAACAACAATAACACGTAGTGTCTATGTCGGACCCCCGATTGGGAAGGGGGGGGGTTAATAGCGTAGCAGTTAAGCACTTCGTTGTCGTGTGAGGAGATCCGAGCTCTATTCTCGAAAGGGGATCCTTTTTAATGAGTATCTCGGTCTTTCTGTAGGAACATTGTATCCATCTTAGCCCCGGTTGGCCCTGACACGGTTAAAGCCCACCTCATAAACAGTCAAAACTGTGTCGATTGGGGAGTAAAAAAGAAAACCTAAATTAAAAAAGAAAACCCAGAGAGACTTATGTCAGTTTCTTGAGTTTATTTGTGCCCGGAGAGAACTGAACATTTTCAGTCAATACATATTTATTTGGCGCTATGTAATTAACACCAATCCTCTATCCCCCCCCTCCCCACCTCCCCACCTCCTTTCCATCCCAATGAAAACACGAAATAATAAACATATTATGTGAGGGTGCGGAAACATTGGGAGGGCATGGGTCGGAGGGAGGGTGTGGATGGCCAGAGAAGAAAAGTAGTGGAGATTGGGGAACAAAACGTGCGGATCGGGAAAAACACAAAAGAGCGTTCGCCGAACGCTCGTATTCTCAGAACAACGCGAGACAAAAAGACAAGAAAAGATATCAAGGCTGTACTCAGCTTCTCAGTGTATCTGGTGCCCACGTCTTGAGGGTGAGAGGGAAGCCGGCCTGAGGAAAGGTCGGGAATTATCCAGAAATAAGGACAGCAAAAACTGACGCTTATAGCGACGCGCGTAACAGGATCTGGATTTGCGCACGCCTCGGTTTAAGCGAAAATTGGCTAAGCAGAGCTATCAGGAGATTGATCGGACTCAAGCCTGGCATCAGCACGTGACGTGGAGAAGATGACCGATCTTTACACTTGCTGATTGTGTGCAAGATGGAGTATTATGAAATGATTAACACAAAAATTGTGGGTATATTATCAGTTTCCTTTGTCATGACAAAATGGGTTACTTGGCCTAACCAGATATTTCAATATAACACAAACGACAACGTTGGTTCAGCAAGGACCTGTAGACCACAGTCTGGTCTAATCGATAACCACAAAAATTCATCACCGGAAGATTCCATCACGCAATTTGCACAACCAAGGACAAATTAAAATATTGGAAACTTTAATCAATTAATTCAAATTTTAGTATCACTTCAAGGGCAGGAGTATACAAAATGAAATCGCCCCAGTAAAAGTTTCCAGCCGATACAGAGATTACAATATATATTCTTTAGAACTTCTTGTTTCTATTAGCTCTGTTTATGCATGGATTTAGATCATAACTTTGCATAGATAGACAATTGTGAAGATACATTATTTTATAACTTTGGGGGTGGGTGGAGTTCACCACCCTGAGATCCGGTATTTGTTAATTTCCCTAAACATCGTTTTTGTTTGTCAATCTTGCTTTTGCGCCTAATTAACTAAATGGGCACTAAAGTGTTGGTGTATTTCTTTTCACCGAATCTAAAAAAGTAGCTTACATTTCTGCTTTCATACCGTACTCATGGTTTTATTTGCTTCATCCCTGAATAGAGTTTTTCACTAAAATGTTGCGTTTGCGTCTGTGTGCGTGTGTTGTTTTTGTTTGTTTTAGTTTGTTTGTTTGTTTTAGTTAGTTTGTTTGTTCGTTCGGTTGGTTGTTTTTGTTGGGGGGGGGGGGATCACTTAATGTACAGTCACTTCTGTCTCGGCTTGTATTGCCCTATTATAGTATGTTTGTGGAACTCCTCAAGCCTTTCAGTAACAGTGTCCATGGCGAAACAGTTAGGCAATTTGCTTTCGCATGTAAGAGACCTGAGTTCGATTCCCCGGTGAGAAGAAATATTTATCGAGTACCTCGGTCTATCTGCAGGGATGTTGTACACGTCTCAGAGTGGGTTTGAACTCGACAGGCAAGGTTAGGGGGCTCTCGTGGCCTAGAGGTTAAGGTGTTGGCCTCTCATTCAAAGGTCCCGGGTTCGATTCCGGGGAGCGACCAAAAAATTTTCTTCTCTAAAATTGTCTCCTTTCACCTCCTTTCCTGATCTCTAACAATGTTCTCTTGTCTGCTTTCATTTCCACTTTCTGCCCCCACCCCCTCACCTCCTTTGCCCCCTCCTCTGGGCTCCTGACTCTTTCTGCAGCCTTTCTACTGCTACTCCTTGGCTCCTCCTAACTGCTGTCTTTCTGCCACACCCCTGATCTTCTGGTAGGAAAGATCTACACCTAGCCTTCTCGGACAAGGGCGAAAAATCTCGGAGGGCCCGTGTGCAAGTTGCGCACGTTAAAGATCCCTTGGTGGTCTAAAATCGATAAGAGTAGGCTTCAGCCGCCACCCGGGATAAATTCAAAATTTCCTACCAACGAAAAAGTATTAGGTGTGTCCCGCGCGCTCATATGACCTTTTGCAGTTGCGAGCGCCGTAAAACCCTATACTAAACAAACAAACAAACAGGCAAGGTTGGAAGCCTGTCTTCTAAATGATCTAAATTGTGTCGACAGGCGCATAAAAACATACATTAAAAAAGCGGAAAACGTGACTTTGATTCACGTGCAGGAAACTTGTTTATTTTTCAATCGAGCATCTCCTTCTGTCTGCTGGGACCTTGTATCCCTTCCAGCCCTGGTTGTCCCTGATAGATATGGTCGAAAAAAGCCCAGCTTCTACACGATCTAAATAGTGTCGACGGAAGAGGGGGGGCGTACAGCATCTACAACAATAATCTTTTTATAGACCCTTGGGTTGCTTTGACTTTCTTGAGAGAAGTTCACATCAAACATAAAGAGTATAGTGACAAAACATGTAATGATAATATTTTAAAAAGTGAAAAGTGTAGAAAACGTGTTGACTTTTTATTCGTGGTGGTGTGATACGTGGGCTGTTATTCAAAAACAGATTTCAATCAGAATCAAATCTTTGTTTACAACGCATTCTGAGGCATCCAAAAAAATCAAAGCTGATAAGATTAAAAATCGAACTCACAATCAAAAGGGATAAAAGGAAAAATTTGAATTATATTGTGAATAAAGCCATTACGTCACAAAGCACCTCATATATTTATTCATATCCCCTGCTACATTAGATTCTATCTGTTGCCTGTACCGATGTCAGCTGCCCACGTGAAATCAAAATAGCAACGACAATCCTGAAGACAAAGAAAGTATGACAGTTAAAGTCTAACTAAGAATACCTTTTTTCAGAAATATAAAAATTCATACCTGTTAGAAATGCCGTTTTGGTTCGTCATGTTTATTTAAGGCATCTATGTAATAATTACATGTAATAATATTGTAGACACTATTTAGATCAAGTAGAAGGCGGTCTGTTTCGACCCTAACTTTCAACGCTATCCTGGACTGAGATATACAACATCACTGCGAATAGCCGAAGAATCATGATTTATCTACGTAAACTTGAATCGAACTCATTTCTTTTACTTGCAATGTTGAAGAGGCTAATCGCTACACCACAGACGCTGGTCCGTTGTGTCTCCTCGTACACAAAGGCACACACTTTCAAAAAGCCGTTAAAATGTACACGTACTGTGCAAAGAACAGAGAGGACGCGCTGCTTCATAATTCACAATTGTATATACATTATGATTTTTGGGGTATGCCTTTGTTCAAAATAGAATTTGAATTTCGACACAATTCATATTTCTTCAGCACACGCAGCCAGTATCATTAATCACGAAACCGCAATACGTATATTTTTACTTTTAAAAAAATTGGGGCATAGTGTATTTCATAGTTAACAACTGGCCGACGAAATATGATGTGCAAATTAGATTGGAATCTAGGAACAGTTTCTGCAACTAAGGTACAACATGACAGGATAGGGAAATAAGCAAAAACCAAAACTTCTGATCCAATGAAGCCTAAGTCAGGCCGTTTCTCGTGTCTAAATTTTCTGACGTTTATATTAAGTTTTTAAGACCAATAAGACTTGGTGTATAGCAAAATTTATAGCGAACACTAAAAAAAAAACCCCTGTTACTGTTGTATAATGATATATGTTTCACGCACCCACCGACTCAATTTAGATAATTAAGGAAGCGGGCTGCTTTGACCTTGCCTGACAGGGCCAACACGGGCTGAGTTGAGAGGGATACAACAACAATTTAAAAAATAAAGTCACGACTTCTACATGAGACGGGGGGGAGCGGCTAACCACAAACTACAAACGCCAATTTAAAACGAATGACAAACACGAAAGAAGGGAGGGGGAAGGGGGATTTTAATTCCTTCACCAAGGTCACTTGTTTTCTGATCCCGACCTCGACATGTGGATGTGAGTTCCCGTAACGGGTTGACCGCAACCCTGTAGCGGTCAGCCTGACAAGGACGACAACTGGGCTAACAAACCTCTTTATTCATGAGGAGGGTGGTGGTTAATTTCTTGACGCAAAGCTGACAAATTTGTAACACAAGAGACACGATAAATCCATTTGATCGTGATATCCCGGTGATAAATCAATCTTCATCAAATTTGTAGCGCTGAATATATAAGGCGGTTGTCGTGTCAGAGAGATGTGGCTTCCTCCGTTCTTCCATCCATCTTTTCTCTGATCTCCACATCCCTGCCCGACGGAATGTTTAAGAGCTCCTGTCTTAAAAGAAGCAAAAACCGTTGATCACAAGCGCGATAAGATAGCCTCATGTTTGTCAAATATCTATTGAGATCTAGAACAAATTTAGTTTGAAAAAAAAAAAAAGAGATTTTAATGTCAAAGATGAAAGAAAAGTATTGAGCTATCTAGAACCACATTTACAAAGAAAAGTGCAAAAGATGTATTTAGATATGTAGAGAAACTTCGATTTAAAAATAGTGATGTCCCAGATGTATCGAAACTTTTAGAGGCACTTGAATAAAGAAATAAAAAAAATGTCTGCTCCATTCAATACATTTCATGACGTTGTTGAACAGCTAAGTTTTTAGAGTAAAAGCACGCATTTGAAGGGAACCAAACGAAATGTGCATTTGCAAAATACGAGCAATGGAGAAAGTGATTTGATTAATGTTGAAGCGTTTTGTTGGGTTTGAGTTTTTGTTAAAGAGGGCAACACCGGTTGGCGAAATCAACACACTGGCCATGTCCCGTAGATTTCATCTACGCCGGGTGTTCCTGCCTCCTTCAAAGGGACCAGGCAGGGATATGAACCTCTAGA